TTAACGGCTAGTTAGCTGGGTGGCGGGTTTAACGGCTAGTTAGCTGGGTGGCGGGTTTAATGGCTAGTTAGCTGGGTGGCGGGTTTAACGGCTAGTTAGCTGGGTGGCGGGTTTAATGGCTAGTTAGCTGGGTGGCGGGTTTAATGACTAGTTAGCTGGGTGGCGGGTTTAACGGCTAGTTAGCTGGGTGGAGGGTTTAATTGCTAGTTAGCTGAGTGGCGGGTTTAACGGCTAGTTAGCTGGGGTAACTTAATAGATAGCTGACTGGCTTAGGGCCGCCTAATAGCTTAGACAGCTGATGTGGATAGACTAACATAAACACCTTATGGCTGACTAATTAGGGCTGTTTACTGGGATGGTCAAATGACTGGTTGGCTGTTTTAGAGGCTGGATGATAGCCAGGCTCGTATGATAACAGCCTGGGTGGATAACTGACTCAGCAGCTTAATGACTGTCGAGTTTTGTGTATGAGGAAGGGGAGGGGTGAGGTGTGGGATAGGAGGGTGTGTGTGTGTGTATTGGGTGCGTGTGTGTGTGTGTGTGTGTGTGTGTGTGTGTGTGTGTGTGTGTGTGTGTGTGGGGTGGGAGGGTGGCAGCGGTCGACATGACACCGACGCCTCACCTTGGCTCATCTCGTGGGATTTAGAAAACAATCTAGATGAAAATGCAGAGATAGCGCGCCCGGGGGGGAAGCAGCTTAGCCCGGGAGGAGCTGGGCGCAATCCCTTCACGGTTTTAATACTCTAGAATGGAAAATGTTAACTGGGAGCTGTAATGACTGAGTGCGGGATGTTCTCTGTGTGTGTGTGTCTCTCTCTCTCTCTCTCTCTCTCTCTCTCTCTCTCTCTCTCTCTCTCTCTCTCTCTGTGTCCTTACCTGCTATGTTTGTTACTTTTTCACGCACTCACACAGGGGAAGTAAATGTATTTAGTCGCATCACCGATGGGAAATTAACAGGTAGTGCGCTGCCGGAAGTAGTGATGATGGGTTATGACTTGTTTGTCCAGAGTGGCGGGGATGAGCTGTTTCCCGAGGGCCTCCACTTACCGCTGGTACAGTGGTTAAGTGCCCGCTCGGGCCGCCACACTTAGTGGTAATTAATATATATATATAACCTGAGTGCTGACTGCTTCGCCTCCTGCTGTAGCTGGTGGTGGTGGGGGGGGGGGGGGGGGGTGGTGGTAGTGGTGGTAGGGGGGGGGGTGGTGGTAGTGGTGGTAGGGGGGGGGGGGTGACGGTGGTGGTAGCGGGGGGCGGGGTGTTGACGGTGGTGGTGGGGGGGGGGGGGCGGCAGTGATGTAGGTGGCAAGTGTGCAACCTGTCCTCACATTTCTTGATGCACAGTGCAACCTGTCCTCACTTGACTCCTGGCGCGGTAAAATTCTCGAAGCACCTCTGCATTAACGCTTCCGCGGACAAGCGACCCTCGACCCTTGTTCGGTCACTAAGATTACTCGCCTAACTACGCGAGTGAGTCTACGGAGGAGAATGAGGCCTAGCTCTATAGGCCTCGCCTCCTGGCCTTGTTGTACCTCTTGAGTTTAATTGAATTTTGCCGATGTTCGAGTTTTTGTTTTTGGTCGAGTCAGGTGGTAATGTCTGCCAGCGTCACATATGCCGCCGATGATACCCTGTTTAGGTGTGACTCCGGTGCTAATGTTGGACTTACATTCAGTACCAGATCTTATGCTCATTCCGATAGTTGTTATACGGTTGGCCAGTTGGTTGTTATGATTGTGGTGATGGTGGCAGAGATAATACTGGTAGTGAGAATGGTTGTAATGGTGGTGTCTGTATTCACCTATTTGTGCTAGCGGGGGTTGAGCTCTGCTCTTTCGGCCCACCTCTCAACTGTCAATCAACTGCTACTAACTACTAATTTTTTTCTCCACACACACAAACACACACTCTACACTGGCAAAAGTTAGAACATCATTCAGAAACCTAAGTGAGGAGGCTTTTAGGGCGCTTTACACTGCCTACGTGAGACCCGTCTTAGAGTATGCCGCTCAATCATGGAGCCCCCACCTGAAAAATCACATAAGGGAACTGGAAAAGGTTCAGAAGTTTGCGACGAAACTTGTCCCAGAGTTACGAGGGATGGGATTTGAAGAGCGCCTGAAGGAACTGAACCTTACGACACTAAAAAAAAAGAAGGGAGAGGGGGGGATATGATAGGAACTTATAAAATACTCAGGGGAATTGACAAAGTGGAAATAGATGAAATGTTCACACGTAATAGTAACAGAACGAGGGGACATGGGTGGAAGCTGGAAACTCAGATGAGTCACAGAGATGTTAGGAAGTTTTCTTTCAGTGTGAGAGTAGTGGAAAAATTGAATGCACTTAAGGAACAGGTTGTGGAAGCAAACTCTATTCATAATTTTAAAACTAGATATGATAGGGAAATGGGACAGGAGTCATGGCTGTAAACAACTGATGGCTAGAAAGGCGGGATCCAAGAGTCAATGCTCGATCTTGCAAGCACAAACAGGGGAGTATAAATAGGTGAGTACACACCCAGGAACTCGCCTCCCAGGTACCTATTTACTGTTAGGTAACAGGGGCACCCATAACGGGGTGAAAAACTCTGCCTATTTTGTTTCTCGCCGGCGCCGGGAATCGAACCCCGGTCCACAGGACTACGTATCCAGCGTGCTGTCCATTCAGCCACCGGCGCCTCTTTCTGTGGTGGTGTACGGGAGGAGAGGGGGGGGGGGGGTAGAGAGAATACACGCACACACACACACACACACACACACACACACACACACACACACACACACACACACACACACACACACACACACACACACACACCGCGGCCTCAGGAAGCTAACTTGTTGCCGGCTCCCCCCTCCCCCCAAACCACCCCCAGGACGAGCTCCTGGTATAGTTTAAGACAACTATCAAAAGAAAGCGCTAAGCCAGTGTGTGTGTGTGTGTGTGTGTGTGTGTGTGTGTGTGTGTGTGTGTGTGTGTGTGTGTGTGTGTGTGTGTCTGGTGCTAGACAGAGAAACGCATAATAGGAACTCGGGCCATCGGGGGATCGAACGCCGACCGTGCTAAAATGCCAGACCGTCACCCCCTACCAACAATCATCCCTAACTGTTGGCAGGTCAAGGCGTTACAACAATAACAATGGGTCGTGAAATTTGCAAGCTCGTGCAATGATTCATAAATATCAACAAAAGCCGCAATAATTGATGCAAGATCTAAAGGTTTCGTAAATGCTTGCACCTACTAACATGGCTCCCGGGGGGGGGGGGGGGGCACCACACAGCCACCGTGTCAGAGGTCACGAAATAGTCACGTAAGGGAGCCGTCAAAACGCATCGATAAAAATAATCACTTCTATCAAAGGAGTTTACTTCTATCATAGAAGGGCAGTTCTATCAAAGGAGTTTACTTCTATCACAGATGGGCAGTTCTATCAAAGGAGTCTACTTCTATCATAGAAGGGCAGTTCTATCATAGAAGGGCAGTTCTATCATAGAAGGGCAGTTCTATCATAGAAGGGCAGTTCTATCATAGAAGGGCAGTTCTATCAAAGGAGTTTAGTTCTATCAAAGGAGTTTACTTCTGTCATAGAAGGATAGTTCTATCAAAGGAGTTTACTTCTGTCATAGAAGGATAGTTCTATCAAAGGAGTTTACTTCTGTCATAGAAGGATAGTTCTATCAAAGGAGTTTACTTCTGTCATAGAAGGATAGTTCTATCAAAGGAGTTTACTTCTGTCATAGAAGGATAGTTCTATCAAAGGAGTTTACTTCTGTCATAGAAGGATAGTTCTATCAAAGGGATTTAGTTTTATCACAGAAGGGCAGGTCTATCATACAAATTTAATTATATCATAGATGTGTAGTTTTATCAAAGAAATTTAGTTCTGCCATTGAAGTGTAGTCATATTAAAATAATTCAATCTCACAAGTGCAGTTCAATCAAAGCAATTTAGTTCCATCACAAAAAAAAATGAAGCTGTACCAAAGAAATTTAGTTCCATCACAAAAAAAAATGAAGCTGTACCAAAGAAATTTAGTTCCATCACAAAAAAAATGAAGCTGTACCAAAGAAATTTAGTTCCATCACAAAAAAAAATGAAGCTGTACCAAAGAAATTTAGTTCCATCACAAAAAAAAATGAAGCTGTACCAAAGAAATTTAGTTCCATCACAAAAAAAAATGAAGCTGTACCAAAGAAATTTAGTTCAATCATCGAAGCTTTCACAGAAATTTAATTCTATTATAGAAGTATAAAATTACAGAACAGGAAGAAAACACTCAATAACAATGATACTAAATCAATAACAATAAAGAATAACATTAATAAGGGTAATCAATATAAATGACTGAACAAGACGGAAGAACAGCTCTTAACCTGGGGCCAGATTCACGAAGCATTCACGCAAGTACTTACGAACGTGTACATCTTTAATCAATCTTTGACGGCTTTGGTTACATTTATTAAACAGTTTACAAACATGAAAACTTGCCAATCAACTGTTGTTATTGTTATAAACAGCCTCCTGGTGCTTCGGAGCTCATTAACTGTTTATTAATTGTAAACAAAACCGCCAAAGATTGAAAAAGATATACAAGTTCGTAAGTAACTGTGTAACTGCTTCGTGAATCTGGCCCTTATCTTTCAAGTGGAACTGTAGGGCTGTTTAATCAAGTGAGGGTACCCTTGGGTACACTTAATGACCCGACGACGCCTACACTTAAGGAGCTGACACTGGCTACACTTTCCTGCACTGACTACACCCCAACGCATTGACCAGACTTGAATTAACCATGGCTACACTCGTTATGGCTACAGTAGCCATGACTACATTAGCCATGGCTACACTAACCATGGCTACACTACACGCCGGATGAAGGGATGGAACGGTACAGGAAGGGTAATGTGGAATAGCCGGATAGGGAGAGTAACCATCAATGCCAGTCAAGATAGAAGGAATAAATTACGAGAACACGAGCTAGGAGTACGACCTGTCTTACCTAAGAGGTCGTAGTGTGAGCGGGGGAGGGCGGGGAAGTGTGTGGGGGGCAGGCGGGGGGCGCCGGCCGAGGTCCTGGGGGCCAGGAGGCTCTCGATGGTGAACACCGAGGACGGTGCACGCGACGCCGGCTGCAGCACCCCGCCGTCTGTCGCCTCCCCCGACGCCAGGCACCGCAGCTGCTCCGACGCCGACGCGTAGCTCTTCAGAGGATCCGACATCTGCAGCTGCACTTTCATGGGGTCGACGGAGGCGTAGGTCTTGAGGGGGTCGTGGCCGAGGTAGAGCCGCATGTGCTCCGGCAGGAGGTACTTGAGGTGCTCCGAGGTGAGGTAGTGCTTGAGGGGGTCGCTGGAGGCCAGGTACTGCTTGAGGGGGTCGGCGGCCCCCATGTACTGCGTCAGGTGGTGGAGGTAGGCCGGGTACGGGTAGTGTGGCAGCGGGGCCAGGCACGGCAGGGAGGAGGGTGCCAGGGGGTCCGACATGGACACCGCCGTGCCTGCAAGCTGCAGCCCTGGCGGCGGCAACGGAGGCAGCGCTGACGACACGGGCGAAGAACCTGAGGACCGCACGCCTCCCGTCTCCACCATTTTACCGCCTCCTGACGCCACTTTGTAAAGCAACACACCACAAGGTCTATCAATCGTCCGGGTAATCTCCAGTTCTCTGGGCGAGTAAACACACGGGGCGGATGTTTATGGCGGAGGAGCACAAGGTGTAGCGCGCAACACGTGCCTACCACGACCTGTACACACCGAGCGTGACTCCCAAGTGAACATCCCAGGATCATCACTCACCATAAATCACTTTTGACTCGCCAGGCTCCGCCCCGACGACATCCGCAACGTCTGATTCGCCAGAGTGCCCCCGAAGTCCCGCCTCTCAACCAATCTCCGCCCGCCGTACATTACCCGCTCGCGTTACCGCCAATCACAACCGGGAAAAACACCGGGAAGGCGTGGCTTTTACGGGCTGGTGGTGTCACACGGCGATTTTGGCGCCGTTATCAGTCCTCACATCAATCCAATTGACCGAAGCAAATATTAAGAAACTTTACACTGGCAAACTCAATTGAATCTTATTCTTTGTGAGAACCAGGCGAGGCAGGTGATCAAAAGTCGGGCCACCAGGCAGCAATGAAACCAGCCTTTCCAGGAGTTCCCCAAATCCTGAATGCTGGACCATGGACCCTCCAGGAAGCAGCCGAGGTGGAAGATGGTAATCTATCACAATATATTGGGAGTTACTGGATATGATGGCTGCGTTGGCGCCTCTCACACGCCCGCCCCGCTAATGAACCGCTAATTGGATGGCCCTACACCCGCCACTCTCCGTATTGTTCTTTTATAGCCCGCCGGATCGCCCACACCCGCTACCAGCACACCGAGAGGCTTCTGGTCGTCACGGGACTCTCCTGAAGGGGGCAGAACGGAGTTATTTTCTTGCAGTTTCCCCCGCCAAACGTTAATCTACTTTGCAGGTGTTTGCTTCCGTTTACACCGTGGGAGAGGTAAACATTTCCGTTTACACTGCGGGAGACGTTAACTAGCTTCCGTTTCCACCGTGGGAGATGTAAATGTTTCCGTTTACACAATGGGAGATGTTAACGTGTTTCCGTTTGCACAATGGGAGAGATAAACTAACTTCCGTTTACACAGTGGGGGAGAGATCAGACTGAAGAGAGGTCATGAGTAGAGTACCTCAAAGGGGTCGGTATTAGGGTCCAGCCTGTTGATAATATGTGTAAATGGTCTAGAAGAAAGTAAGCTCATTGTTATCCACGTTTGCTGACGATGTTAAGCAAATGAGACACATCAGAACTGAGGAGAGCTGCAAAACATTACACAGTGACACACACTAAAGAGATGATCTCAGAAATGGCTACTAGACTATAACCCTGACAAATGCAATGTTATGAGGACAGGAGATGGGACAAGAAGGGAACTATGAGGAGAAAGCGCCAAGCCATTACGACTATATATAGCACTTGGAAGGGGGATCAGGATAATGATTTGAGATGGGACAGGGGAAAGGAATGGTTCTCAACACCTTGGACGGTCGGGGGGATTGAACGTGAACATGAATTGAACCAGCATGAAGCGAGACCGTCGCTCTACCGTCCAGCCCAAGTGGTTTGGGGCACCGATGGCGCAAGAAGACTTCAAAATTCAGTACAGGATGAAGGGAAGGCAACTTCCAACTCCTGAAAAAAGATTTAGGCGCGGACATAACTGGAGACCCAACACCAGAAGCACACATCAGTAGGATAACGAGGGCAATATGCAATAGCGAGGGTAATATAAATATAAATGTCCCTTGTCAGACCAATGGTCCAGTATGCCTAGCAACTTCCATTCTTGAAAATTGGGGAACGAGGCATAGTTAAAGGAGGGAGCTGGGTGGATGGGGGTGTGGTAGATGGGTGGGTAGAAAGGTAGTGAGTGGGAAGGTAGTTGAGTGGGCGTGAACGTAAGTGAGTGGGAATATAGCTGGGTAGGTGGGAAGCTTGGATAATGGGTATGCAGGCGATGAGTCACAATAACGTGGCTGAAGAATGTTGACCAGACCACACACTAGAAGGTGAAATGACGACGACGTTTCGGTCCGTCCTGGACCACAATCGACTTGAGAATGGTCCAGGACGGACCGAAACGTCGTCGTCCCTTCACCTTCTAGTGTGTGATCTGGTCAACACAATGGGTATGATAGCAATTGGGTGGGTTGGAATGTTCTTGATAGGGATGAAAGGTACCAATAAACCAGCTGACCAACAGCCTTGACCTCGAGTACTGTAAGTCATTCTCACAATCCTTTAAGCAACTGAAAATATTTCATAGTGGCCCCACGAACGTGACTGGGTTGGACCCATTATCTTGCGTTATTTGGGCCCTGTGTGGAGGTGCTCTTTCGAGGCTATAAAGAGTTCCAATGATGCATGGTGAACTAGCAAGCTGAGTTGCACTCCCCAGATCCATCCGGACAACAAAAGTCTACAATCACCCGCCTATTAAACTTATCCTATTTCTGTAATGAGTATGAGTACTCATTACAGAAAGACATATTGACGTATGAGCGCATATGCCTTGGCGCTACTCTGTCCACGGTCGCAAAGTCCAATCAGCAGCCTGCGAAGCTCAGAAAAACAAAAAGCTGTCACCGCAACGCTGAGACCAGCCACCGCCACTCACACTAATGACCCCGTCCAAGCATTACCATGGGGGGACGAGAGACCCCAAAGAACACAGGCCAGTTGAAAAGCTCAACAATTGAAGAGCATTCATTAGCTGTGATTGAGCGCGGCTTGCAATCCAGTTAGCCAAATGCAGCGCGGCGCCCCGGGGAGGAGATTGAGTGTAAATCAAGAGTAAAAAGCTATAAAATATACACGTATATATAAATGAATAACGAAAGATATATAATAGCGAGAGTGATATTGTGATTCTCCAAATGCAGGCAAAAACCAGGAGTATGGAATTAAATGGATAGGTATATTAACTACATGTGTATAGCACTGAAGTTGCTGCCTGTCATTAGAGAACACATCCGTTATCTGGCCAGTCAGAAGGGGGGGAAACAGGTGAATCAGTAGGAAAGATAAATGAGATTCTAGTTACGCAAATTAGGGCTTCATTACCTAAACCGACAGTTAGCATGACGGGGCCCAGAGGTTTAAACTCGACCCTGCATACCTACATAGGTAACCTAAACCGACAGTTAGCATGACGGGGCCCAGAGGTTTAAACTCGACCCTGCATACCTACATAGGTAACTAGAGGCCGCGTTAGCTCATGCTGGCCTATATAGGGAGTCCATAGACATGGATTCGATCCCATTGTAGTGCCTCAGCATTATCTCAAGCACTTGAAGTATGAGGTCGCTATTTTATCACACCTAAAGTGGCCATAGATATGGGTTATCTTGAGATGATTTCGGGGCTTAGTGTCCCCGCGGCCCGGGGACACTAAGGCCTGGTCCTAAGGCCGGGGTGGAGGCCTGGTCGAGGACCAGGCCTCCACCCCCAGGAAGCAGCCCGTAGCTGCTGTCTAACTCCCAGGGTACCTATTTACTGCTAGCTAACAGGGGCATCAGGGGTGAAAGAAACATTTTGCCCATTTGTCTCCGCCTCCACCGGGGATCGAACCCGGAACCTCAGGACTACGAATCCGAAGCGCTGTCCATCCAGCTGTCAGCCGTGGGACTTACAGTCTCATTACTGATTTACAAAACAAATATGCAAGAATTTTACATTTCAAGATTTGTTAATTTGCTAAACGACAAGGCAATTTCTACCAGGCAAAATATGCTTCAATAAATTCCAATTAGCCGTTGATCATAATTTAATTAACGTTTCGCCAACGTTAAATTAACTTTTGGTCAACGTTTAATAAAACGTTGTTGGGTTCAGCGTTTAATTAAAGTTTGATCAACGTTTATATATTTACCTTAAAACATCGTTTAATTAACGTAGGAGCGGCATTTAATTGACCAGTCGACTCCACTGCAATTTTTTCAGGAATTATCAAGGTAAAGCGCCAAGACATTACGACTATATAGCACTTGGAAGGGATCAGGATAAGGATTTGGGGTTGGAACGGAGGGGAAGGAATGGTGCCCAAGCACTTGGACAATCGGGGATTGAACGCCGACCTGCATGAAGCGAGACCGACGCTCTACCGTCCAAACCACTGCAAGCCAAAACGTAAATATTAAGGTGTTTTTATATTTTAAAATAATATTGCATTTTTAAACAGATTGGTCGATGCCGTACAAAAATGTGATGTATTAGATGAGGAGACGGGTTGTATAAGCGTTAGACGGGTTGTATAAGCGTTAGACGGGTTGTATAAGCGTTAGACGGGTTGTACAAGGGTTAGACGGGTTGTATAAGCGTTAGACGGGTTGTACAAGGGTTAGACGGGTTGTACAAGGGTTAGACGGGTTGTATAAGCGTTAGACGGGTTGTATAAGCGTTAGACGGGTTGTATAAGCGTTAGACGGGTTGTACAAGGGTTAGACGGGTTGTATAAGCGTTAGACGGGTTGTACAAGGGTTAGACGGGTTGTATAAGCGTTAGACGGGTTGTACAAGGGTTAGACGGGTTGTATAAGAGTTAGACGGGTTGTATAAGAGTTAGACGGGTTGTATAAGGGTTAAACGGGAGGAGGTAGAGTAGACGGAAGAAGGTAGAGTAGGCGGGAGGAGGTAGAGTAGACGGAAGGAGGTAGAGTAGACGGGAGAAGGTGGGGTAGACGGGAGGAGGTGGGGTAGACGGAAGGAGGTAGAGTAGACGAGAGGAGGAGGAGTAGACGGGATGAGGTAGTGAGGGGCACATTACACCCCCCTGAAAAGGGAACCATCCTTCCCCCCCCCCTACCCCCTACTTCCTCCTCTTCCCCCTCCCCTCCCCCCTCCCTCCCCCTAGGGTAGCATCACTCAGGTGTGGACAGCCCACACCTGACTCTTCACACCTGTCGACACCTGTACACACACTGACTAATGAGGAGCTCTCGCCGGACGGGTTGGGTGGGTGGGTGGGAGGTGGGGGTGGGAGGTGGGGGAAGGGGGGTGGGTAGTGGAAGGAGATGGTGGGCAAGGGAAGGGTGGGCTAGGGTAGACAGTGAAGGTTTAGGGAGAGCTCTGGTGGGCAGCTATGATCAAGGGAAGGGTGGGCAGGGGTAGACAGTGGAGGTCTAGGGAGACCTATGGTGGGCAGCTATGGTCAAGGGAAGGGTGGGCTAGGGTACACAGTG